TTAAAACGCAAATATTGCAAGTGGCAAGAGAGAAAACATTGAAATATAAAGATAAGGAGATTGTGATTTTGAAACAAGTACCCAGAAGAGTGAGAGAGATGAGAAGAGAATACCGATTCTTGACCAAATTGCTACTTAAAAAAGAGGTGAATTATAGATGGCTGATTCCAGAAGGTTTAATGTTCACATGGCAAGAACAGAGATACAGAATTGATTCAACTGAGAAAGCTGAATCATTTTATACAGAATTTTTCAGGGGGAAAGAGGAAGAGGCAGAAAAAGAAATTTCACTAATTGAATTCCAAGAGGACTGCCAAATGATGACTGAAAAAGAGGAAGGTGCAGTAGGTGGAAAGGAGGAAGCCAAAGAACAATGTGAGCCAAGATCCACGAGACCTGCCAAACCTAATTATAAAATATAACCATGGAAGAGAAAAAATTGATTACAATTAATATAAATGGACTTAATTCAGCCGTTAAAAGAAGGAAAACTTTCCATAAATTAGAGAAATTAAAATTTGATATAATCTGCCTACAAGAAGTACATATTAAAAAGCAATATGAACAATTGTTGATACAGCCAAAACTAGGGAAAATATTTACCTCCTTGACACAATGCAAGAAAAGAGGAGTGGTTTTATATATTAAAGAGACCATTCCAGCGAAATTGATTTATACTGATGACGACGGAAGAATACTAATGGTGGAAATAATGGATAATAATATGAAAGCACTCCTGATTGCAATCTATGCCTCGAATGACAAACAAGAAGAATTTTGTAAAAAATTACATATGAAAATAATTGAACTGGACTATGCTAATATAGTTATGGGAGATTTTAATGTAGACAACAAACTGGACTATACAGCACAATAAAGCAAAACAGAAATACTTTCCCTAAATCTATTTTTAAAATGGTAGATGAAATAAACTTAAAAGATACATGGAGAGAAAGAAATGCTAAAACTAAACAATACACCTTCTACTCAAATAGACACTTACGGTCCAGAATAGATATGATATGGATGTCAACAGAATTGTTAACTAATATTCAAGAAATAAATATTGAAACAAGTACATTGGATCACAATCCAATGACTATTAAATGGAAAGGACAAAGAAGATCTAGATGGACGTTAAATAACAGAAGCAGTATTTTTACAGTATCACTTTAGGGTTATATGATTCACATTATTTTAGTTCCTTCGTGGAATATTAACAAACCAGAGACTAAAAAAAGGAGGAAAAAATTAATGAGGCAACCTCTGAATCATTCTGAGATCATTCATGCAATCTTGAGTCCTTGGATACTTTCTTGTTCATTATATTACTATTATATCCCACCTTTCCTCTTGTACTTGACAAAGAGGAGTGAGACTTCTATACATGGTAGCCTCACTCCAATAAGAGTTGGCAAAATGAGCCCTCTGCTGGTAAAATCATTACAAATCTTCAGAGGCTTGTAGTTGCCCAAAATCTCCATTGACAAGAGGCTTCCATATCAAGGCATTTGCCCTTTCTGAAACTGAAAAGCCACAGAAAAAAAACCTTACCAGTCTAGAACATATAGCTCTGCTTAGTGGTGAAATAATTGTGATCACTCTTTGCTTCTGGTCTTAGCAACAAGAGTTGCAATGGAGGGAAAACATTATGGAAACAAAACAGTCCAGATCAATGAATTTTTGGGCCAGAATAAGATAGGTTTGGAGGCAGAAAAGGTATCGTTTTCTCTCTAGAGACTTTCATTAGCTTACAATTGTCAGCTGTCTGTTACTTTCCTTGAGAGAGGCAGTATGAAGTGGTCCAACTGCCAGTTCCATCAGTGCATTTTCTTAATGGGGAAAGTATGCAGAAGGCTGAGCCATTCCAGCAGACAGAAGATATCCTACACTTTCCCAGCTCATGGAAGCTTTGAAAAGATCATGCCAATTCATGCATAGTCTGTACTTTCACCAGAGTGGGAAGCATGCAATAGCCAAGGCAGGAAGCAACAACTTCTTGTTTCATCCTTTACAGAGCACGAGGAACCACTTGTGGAGAGTTCAGGCTTTCTCACTCATCCATTTTCCCAATGTACGATCCATGAGAACATCTGTGAAATTAGATCTACCTCCAGGTCACGATCTGGTTACCTATGTTTTGCAGCTCTAACTTGAACAGCATGGTTCCTGCTTATTCACATTATTTTGTCAGATCATGCCTCCCGAGAACCTTCACCAACAGCTCTTCTTATAAAACCTTGGCATTAGTAACTATGGAACTGAGGGGATGTATTAACTAGGCCCCCAACCTGTAGCACTACTATTAAACAATTGTTCTCTTTATTTTCTCTCATAAGAGTGCATTGTAGCCTTTGGATGTTTAACAATGTGGAATTCTCTCATTTTGGCACCTAGCATTGCACTGCTATATGAAATTATCTGGGTAGCTCAGAAACGTAGCACGATATTGCTAGGCTGCCCTTGAGTTCTGGGTTGCTGTTGCCTGCTTGAGGATAGTTTTTTTCTCTAGTGTATATGTTTGCTTTGTAAAAATCATCTCTTTTGAAGTTGTTGACTCTTTAAACTTTAGAACAATGTCACTTTCAGTGACATTGAAGTCAGAAGTGGGGGATTATTTCTAGTCCTCTCCACCTGACTGAGTGGCATAATCTGAGCTTTGTCTCCTTGTTTCATTGTTGAAGAAGTAGTAACAGGATCTTTCCCATTTCTACTCGGGGAATCTCTATTTTGCAAATTCTTGTTGTTAGTAATGTTAGGAACCAGATAGTTTTGTATCTTTGTTAGGAATATTATCTTTTGTTTGTATAGCATTGTACCACACCATAGTTTAACCAGAAAAATTCCCTGGTTCTTTCCAGTACAGCACTTTGTTTACAGAAGTCTTAAGTAATGTTACAGTCATAATGGCCACTAACTTCTGAACTAACTTCAGGACTTACAGGATCCCTTGACCTATCTGTCAAGGGCCCATTCTTCTTAATAAACTATATGGGATAGCATTATAGATTATTCTAGATAAGAGGAGGAAATGACCAAAATATCTTCTTACTTTGTGACTTTGTAGAGACTCTTCTTCTAAATTACTGAAGGTTGTGGTGTTGTCAACCATTTTCTGCAAGACGAAAGAGATGGGTCTTTCCCTCAGGACCTCAGAGATGAGGAGCTTTTAATTCAAGAGCTTTACTCCTTTTCAGTGTGACATCAACACACAGTGGAAAGCCAAATGGGCTGCTGAATGGCCAGTTACATAGTTGATTCTACACAAAAGGTGCCAGGTTTTGATCTTCAGCGCCAGCATTGGTCAACTCTGAACAGGATCCATATCCAACATGGGATCTGCCAGGACTCATTGTTTAAGTGGGGTCTTGTCTCTACCCCTCAATGTGACTGTGGTGCTCCTCGACAAATATCCATCATAGTGTGTCCTAATGTCCATCAAGAGCTTACACTGGCCCAATATCTGATTTTTTCAACATAGACTACCCTGTCCTTGAATGGCTGGGTGTATTGGACATAAACATTTGAACCACTATAAGTCCATGTATTTGCCATATGCTAAATAAATAAATAAACACCTTTTCACATCACAATCATTACTAAAGACAGACAGCCACAGCGAACAGTAAATATTTGCATTCAAAGTCAGAGATAGGTTCCAGAGTACTGCCAGTTCAAAAAAAAAACATTCCTAAATTTTTTTGGGGGGTTGGAGAAATAATCAGATGGAATACCTTCTTGCATGGACAGAAGAATTGATAACATCTTCAATCCTTTGCATGATTTAGAGGATCTGAGGAGTGGAGCTGAGGTCATTCTTGCAGGTGTCCCAAAGTAATTATTATAATGTCAAAATATTCAGATTAAAGCTCTTCAATTAACGCTGTATCTTCTTCACAAGTTTATTATTCTAAAGACCTTTTGAAATTTTTGTTAACATCATTTGTTAATTATACCTGAAAGACAGTACACAATATTTCTAAATTAAGTTCATAAGTCTGAACAGGATCTCAATAGAAAGAATACTATATCATGGTTGAGCAATTACTAGAATCAGCTTGGAAGAATGTAAATCTATCCTGATAATCCTATGCATTGGATTTGTCTTACAGCACATGGACAATAGTCACTTGTGGTAGAAACATTGGAAGAGAAGCTCAAAGATATATGTATTTAGTGATATGACAATAACATAAATGTGTGTACAGTAATTCTTTGCCATAGTTACTTGCTTTTTTCTCTTTTTTAAAATAATCTTTTGGATAGCTATTCAGTGTTATCCCTTTAATTCCCATTAACAAATTATTCAAACTATATTCTTACAGTTCATCATCTCTTTTGACTTGGTAGATAATATAAATGTGGAAAGGAATGTGGAATAGAGATAGTTCTCCCTATCACTCCCAAACTGTATGAATTTTATATGCCTAGGTTCTGTTTAGCCATGATCTTGAATGTGTGTGTCAGTTCCCTTAGTTCAAATTCCCCAAGCCTACCCTCAGTCAGCAAATATATGAGATATATTTCTCCTGCCCGTAAAATGGTGTGGAAATAATTATTTGCCTTTGTAGTCTACACAAAGTATTTGGAAGATAACTAGAGGGCCACTTTGAATAAACAAGTAGTTTAGGTAAAATGATATTTCCTCCTTCCAAACTGATCAAATTGAAATGCTCCTTGTGTTGTAAAAATTTTACGTTATAAGTACAAATAATGTATTAATCTTAAATACACAATGCTTTTAGCTCAACGTCAATATGGTAAATAATGAGGATCTAACGTCTTCATTCTGAAGACTTATGAAAATTATCTCTTCTGTCAAAAGATTGCACCTGCATTCAGAGAAGAGATTGTTTCTAGTGGGTTTCTCTTTTGTCCTATTCTGAGTGCTGCTTCCATTCATTTGTTAACTGCAATTAATATCGAAAGAGAGATCTAGCTTCATTTAATTGGCACACCACATTAAAACACTTAACAGTATGACTATATCTCATTCACAGTTCCCCGTTGGCACTGAAATTGAAGGAATGAATATTCTGGGGCTTGTGCTCTTTGCTCTGGTTTTGGGAGTAGCTTTGAAAAAACTTGGACCTGAAGGAGAAGAACTTATTCGTTTCTTTAATTCTTTCAATGAGGCAACCATGGTCTTAGTATCTTGGATTATGTGGTGAGTGTTCATAATAATACTGCAATCTGTAAAAAACTTCCCAGTGTTGCGGCAGTTTAAAATACAATTTACTACACACACTATCTTCTCTTCAGCTCTAACGTCTATATTAAAGGGTCTTCATAATCTGTAACATCTAATTTGAGAGGGACAATTCCCAGCTGATTGTCTAGCAGAATCTAAGGTCTAATAGAAGGTGGTATATGCAATACATTAAGGAGAAATATTCAGCATGTTTATAATGTACCTCCCTTTATCAAGCATGGAGTATGAACCACTAATTTCGTACTTGGGAGGAGTACTGTAGTAAAAACTACTTAATCAAATATCAGGTAGACCTTTTCTTGTGGGGAAAGTCTATAGTTCAAATATATTTCTCTAGCTCATCTGGAAACTAAATTCTTCATTGAAAAAGATGCTCAGAAATACAGTAAAGATCCCTGCTGGTTACATTACAGGAAGCATAAATATTCAGTAATTAAAAGTGCAGTTGGTATAGTCAGTAGTTGGATTTCATTTGCAACCCTATTGGTTGTGTGGCTATATTAATAACCCGTTTCCATATCTTTGGGGTTTTAATTGTACAAGTCTAAATATGCTTATTCAACACTTACTGTATTCAGTAGCATTTGCTTCTTAATAAAGGCATTTAGAATTACTCATTTATTGCCTATGTAATATGTAGAACACCATTTTCATGGAATTTTACAGAATTACCAGTTGGGCTTCAGAACCCTTGTTTCTAGGAAGGACATATACCCTATTCTGCTGAATCAGCTAATTCTAACTTCCCTCTGCCAGTGTGACATGGAAAGTTGATATAGAAAAATGAGCAGCTTAAATCGATCAACTGCCCTCTCTCCCTTGAATATATATTGACTCAAGAGGGTTGTAGATAGGCTATTGACCGGTCAAGGCCTGGATTTCTCTCATGTCCCTTGTGCAACTGACTTGAATATTTAGCACATGGCAGCTTTTTTCCTTTCTGATTCAATACTGGAATTGAAAAGGCCAGTTCATAGGCAGAACTTGCAGTTTGTCCTATAAAATCTGTATAGAATGAAAGGATCATGGAAGCTGAAATTGTGCAAGAAGGTCCCTTGGGACTCTGGCAAATTCACTCCACTTCATACCCTACCACTGCCATTTCAGAGAGACCTTCAGGTGTTGCTTTATAAAAATAAGTTTTCTGCTTTCCTGAACAGGATAGGAAAGTGGTACCCAGACTCGATGAAATATTTTTAGTTGGGTCTCCTATGACTATTGCCATATAGAAACTTATTTTTTTCTTTAAAATTGGGTGGGCATTTTGGAAGTTTTTTTAATTAGCTACCTTCCTTTTATTTTTTATTCTAACCACTTTAGATTTGTGACATTGGCTTGACACTGAGAGCATTTGCATAATTTTTGAAATTATTGAATGCTGATTAAAAGATCTGCATTAGTAAAAACTTTGGAAGACTTTGGAACACTGCAAGCAATGGCTTTCAATGCAACCAGCCATAGTATCTTACTGGCTGGCCTACAAGAATCTGAGACTGCAGACCCTGTTTTGCAAGTGGTTCTGTTTGTTCAGTCAATTATGCGGTATGCCAGTTAGGCCCAATGGCATGTTATATGTGGAGTGCCACAGAAGTGATTTTTTGGCATTTGGAGTGTGATATAATCAATGTGTTGATAATATACCAATTTTACATTGTCACTTCTGGGGCATAGGAAGACGTTGACATCCTATCCAAATTTCTAGAGACTGTAAGAATCTGAATGAGAGAGAACAGACTAAGGTGAACTCAAATGAGTTGCTATTTGGACATTAGAGATATCTGTCAGTACCAGTGTTGTATCTGAATGGCCAGGTTCATTATTTGGGAGTCCTTCTGCACTCATGGCTTCTGCTAGAAAAGCAACCGGGGTTAGAACTCTGCTTTTCATTGCCACTCAATTGGTTTGTCACTGAAACCATCATGTCACTGCACAAATTCCTCAGATCAAGAACTAGAAGTCAGGCAATTCTGGTGCTTTTTTGCCCTGGAAAATCTCCACAATAAAGGTGTTAAATTTCCATCTCTCACATGCTTCTGTCATTCCATATTCAAAAGCAACCTCTGTCCACTGAACAAAATCTAGTTTGGACCAAATTAATCTCCTGTTTTTTCAACTTACATATGTTCAACCCAAATGCTGTAAAACTAACTCTTCTGATTTGATCATTTTTTATACCATTCACTTCTCTGTTCACCCTAACATATTACTTATGTCATTATTTATGAAAATAGCCCCCCTTCACACCATTAACCTTTGAATATGAAATACTTGTTGTATTCACTGCAGATTCTTTAATTCGTTCAATTTAATGGTTCTCAAGGATAGCAGCAAATGTGCAGATGAATGTCCCATAACAGAAAAAGAGATAAAAAAATCAATTTACTGAGGGAAATTTTATATGACAATCTGATGTTTATTCTTTATTGAGGCCCATAATGTGGGTTTTAGAAATCACTGACATTTTCATTTTCATTCTGTAAAAAATTAAAATGTTATTTAGCATTCAATGTAACACTTGGTGCTTCCTTTTCAGGTATGTACCACTTGGCATCACATTTCTAGTTGGAAGCAAGATTGTGGAAATGGATAACATTATGCTGCTGGTGACAAGCCTTGGAAAATACATTTTTGCATCAATTCTTGGCCATATTATTCATGGAGGAATTATTTTACCACTTATTTATTTTGCAGTTACACGCAAAAACCCTTTCACTTTTCTGTTAGGACTTATAACTCCTTTCACCACAGCATTTGCTACTTGTTCCAGGTTGGTAGATTTTTGCTTCTATTTCTGAAGTGAGGATGACATTGTTTGAATTTAGAGTAATATAGTAACTCAGCTTTTCTTGTAAAACTAGGGACTCTACATTTATTAAAACGTAAGGCAGGCTTTTAGAATGGAGTGTAGATCTCTCTGGAGAGCACTCTGACATATTGTCTGGGTGTGTGGTATGCAGGCTTCACAGCTGAGGACAGGAAAACTGTACAGAAGGTGATAAACACACCTCAAAAGATCATTGGTTGCCCTCTGCCCTCCCTGGAAGACTTAGCCAGGTCCTGCTGCCAAGCAGAATCAAGGCCATTATAGAAGACCCCTCACACCCTGGCAATTATCTTTTCAACCTGCTGCCGTCTGGATGGCGCTTTAGGTCAATAAAATCCCACACCACTAGACTAACAAATAGCCTCTTTCCCTGGACCATCTGAACCGCAAATAAACACAAAGTCACTACCTTATTAAGATGTGAAAAGATGTGAAATCTCAATACCTCATTCAGATGTCTAATAACATCTCTTGTGTATTATACTTGGCAAAGCGTCACAGTCAGTGTTGGATGTATATTTTATGTATATTCGTAGATATTGTACTCTCTAGTTGCAAATGGAGACGTGGGTACTCTATTTTTTTATCTTCATTTTTAAGTGCTCTGGTTTTATTGTATTGCAAACAGTTGCTGGGGTGCATCCACAGTTTCATTGTACTTGTACAATGACAATAAAGTTCTTCTAATTCTAATAGTCTGTGTCCCTAATATGGTAAAATATGGCTTGACGGCAAAGGTTTTAATGGCTATGTTATTGTACCTTACAGGGTGGGGAGAGAGACAATTTGAGAATACTACGGTGCTTGATTGTAAAAATATTTCTTTAAACCAGACATAATAGAACTTGAAATGGATGTAATAATCAAAATGTATAATAAAACTCCCCTTTTACTTTTTCTCATAAGATTCAGGCATTTGTTTTGGAAATGAATAAAGTAGAATCCTTTGCCCTAATTTTCAGGAACAGCACGTATCTGGAATGTTACATTATCTATTTAGGCTGACAGACAAATGCTTATATTTTGGGCTGCAGGAACAATGCTGGACTTGACGTTCTTGTGCTTCTTCCTTGATCACATCTAGCTCTGCAACTCTTCCATCAATGATCAAATGCATTGAAGATAACAACAAAGTAGACAAAAGGATTAGTAGATTTATTCTGCCTATTGGGGCTACTGTGAATATGGATGGAGCTGCTATTTTCCAGTGTGTAGCTGCTGTCTTTATTGCTCAACTGAACAACGTTGACCTCAATATTGGACAAATCTTTACCATTCTGTAAGTGATAGTATCAGTGGTTCAGGTTCATCAGAAAAACCAGAGAAACAATTTGACTCTTTCTAGCCTGCCACATTGCGCTTTGGTTGAAGCATCATTTATGAATTATGTCCTTCAGGGAAATGCTAAAAGGGGTCGTACTTTTCTCCTTCTAAGGAAATTATAGTTTATTGCAATGTAGAGAATAAAAACCTAAAGGGATGCTTGGCTTGACAGTGCTGTGGGTGGCAATGCAAAAGGAAGCAGCAAGTAGATGTGTCATTAAGTCACTTCTGAATCATTTTAGTAATTTTGATCAGGGGCACACCCAAACTTGATGCAACTAGAATTAAGCTGATTTGCAGGATGTACAATGGCAAGTTGTACAGTCTATCTCCAATGTGTGGTGTCAGTGTGTGGAATGAAAGAAAAATTCCCGAGTACAAAAAATAAACTTCGCATATGATTCTGTGTTATTTTAATACGTATATGAAATTTCAGCATAGCCAAAAATATTTTTATTGACAGGGTTACTGCCACTGCTTCCAGTGTGGGAGCTGCTGGAATTCCAGCTGGAGGAGTTCTAACCATAGCTATTATTTTGGAGGCTATTGGACTTCCCACAAATGACATCTCTCTCATATTGGCTGTGGACTGGATTGTGTAAGTATACAAATGTGTGCGTGTTGGCTCTTGAATATGGTGGTTCTCAAAGTATCAAGGGTCTTAATAATCCCTTGTGGGGCAACCTTTAAAAAGTGCTTTCATCAAGAAGAGAGCAGTTGCAAACCACATAGCAGAACTTGTTGATTGCATGTTGAGTTAGAAACTTACTGCCAAATTTTTTTTGATTTGCATCTTTTTCCATTCTGATTATCACAAAAGCTCTCTGAAGTTGAGAAGGGAGAGAAGCAGAGGAAATTAGCTATTAAAAACCATGCATCTCATGACATAAAAATTATTTCTCCTTCTTGGGGGAGAAATATTTTGCAGTGGGGTTTTTGTTTGTAGCATGAGGTGAAAGAGAGGCTGCATTTTGAGGCATATGTATTTATATTTGGGCTCAGCCATAACTGCTGTAAAAATTACATTCCAATTAAATGTAAAGAATGTTAATGTTCCTCATATGTCAAGAAAAGGATGGTAATTATGGTAAACAAGAAACAGAATTTTGCTCCAAGAAAACTTGAAACATCAAAACTTCCCAAGGAGGATATAGTATTTGTTTAGTTTCTTTTTCCTCTGAAAGATGGTTAAAAAACCTTGGTGGGGTATGTTTAAAATTGGAGGTAGGGGCTCAAAAAGAGTTGCCTTGGGTCCAGTCTCCAATTTTACAATCATGTTCTCCAGCAAAAAGGAAACACCTACCTTGCTGGCCAGGAAAAATGACTGACTGATGGATACAGGATAGTACTATATTCTCCTTCAGCAAACTGTTCAGGCTGAGCTTCTGATCTTAATTTTGCTTACAGAGAATAGGGCAGAGCTGTCTGCTTTTTAAAAAGCATTTTTGCTTGCTGTGCTTTTTGATGTCTTTAGTCTTGAACACAGATCACTATTAATATAGAGAGTGGAAGATGACATTTCTCAAATCTGTTGCTTTTAAAGATAGCCTGAGCCTCTGCAAATGTTTACAGATGCATTTCATTAACACCAGTGAAAACGTTTTCATGTTTTCCCTATTGACCAGGGACCGGACCACAACAGTTGTCAACGTTGAAGGTGATGCCTTTGGAGCAGGTATTCTTGATTATCTGAATCCAAAAGAAACGAAGGAGAAAGACACAGAACTTAGTGATGTCCATGTGGAAGCCATTCCAAACACCAAAGCTGATGAGGAAACATCACCTCTGGTAACACACAAGGTTCAAGATTGCACCCCTCCACCATCTAGCTCTCAAGATCTAACACCTAATGAATCAGTCCTATGAATATAAAAGAGCGGAGGGCACTTTATGGGCACTGTAATTTAGAAAGTACTTGTTGAATAGAGTCTGTATGGCCCCCTAAGATTAAGCAGGCATGTCCTCTTCCATTCTGATGGCATAAAACACAGTGGTAGCAGCCACAGACTACAAAATATGTGCAAGCTTCTGTATGTTTGTGTGTGTGTTTGTGAGAAAGAGAGACAAGAATGAAAACTTTAGTTGGTACACAAAGTGCTGCTGCATCCTTATGTGTATGTGAGTAACATATGCAAGACAAATGTAGTGACTGAATGATAGCTATCCTAGAAAATTTCTTCTTGCTGTAAAATAATAATTAAAACCCACTTTATAAGATAGACTGAAATTTCAGAGATTTGGGGAATGTCTTATTAACTAAAGTTATACAGGAAAAGAAATGGAGTTTCTTGTAATTTTACTGCATCAAGCCTGCATGACTGTGTTTGAAAGATATTCTTAAAGGATCCGTTTCTTTTGATTGATAGCCAGTTTGTGGGAGCTAACCAAACTATTGCTTTTTGTTCTAGTTTGATAAATCAGAGAAGCAAACCTTTTGAAGGAGAATAGAATTGAACTAATATGTTATCAGATATATATAGCTAATGGCCACCAGTCCAGATTAGCCTAAAAAGGACAATTTTAATTTATTGCTCTCTTTCTGAACTAAGCAAAGCACCTGTATGTTGAACCTGGACCAAAAAAGAATGCAAGAAGTTGAACCATTGCCTTTCTCTGCAACAGTTGGGTTGCAACCTTCATAATTGTTTCTTAACACAGGAAGCTTCAATTAGTTTTTAGGCACTCTCAGTAATTTACATTAATGCTTGATTGTTGTTCCTAGAAAGAAATATCAGTGAGTGGCCATGATGAATATGTACTACTATTTCTACAAAGCAGGAACTGACTTTATGTTTCCTTAAGTCATGTTGCTGGTGGTGCTGTGAGATATTATCTTTGTCCTGGAGCAGCATATTGTATGGCTTATGGCTTTTAATGTTTTCTGCTTTAGAACTGTCCCAAATTGGGACCCCCCATTGGCAATGGAAGGCTAGCTAGAGTTTTCAGATTGGTAGGCCCAATAAACCTAGTGGACATTGTATCTAGAATGATGCTTTTGAGCATGAATCCATAACTGGACCTAAAAACAAATTGTTTATCAAAAGGACAGGCTGCATCAGGTAGTATGCTGCCCATTTCCCCAAGACCAATAAGTATATGAAATGTGTTTCTATCAATCCCTAAACTGATGAACTCCATGTTTATTTAGCGTCTGGTGACATAAATGGCCCATAATGTTTTTTCTTTATGCATAACAAATGAAATCATACTGCAAATATGGATAGAAAACATATGTAGAACATCCAGTTATAAGCTTCAAAAGGTCTACATAAAAATATATTTAAATGGGTGCTTAAATGTGGCTTGATAATAATCATGAAGCTTCATTTGTTGCTTTTTCTCTCACTCCACCATTGCTTTCAAGAGGATATGTGTTGATAATACAATCCTGGTCTTTAACTCTTCTTGTATAAGAGTTACCATTCAGACATTTTTTCTGGCTATTAGGAATTCAATTCCATTATTTAAATTTGTTTGGAATATTATCTGTCCTTGTCCTCCCAGTATGAAAATCTTTTTCAAAAGGATATAATGCATTATAATTTCCCCCCCTGCAAAATTAACCTTAAAGCCCTGGGGCAGGAAAAAACAACTTACCTGGTGCCTCCCAGATGGGTCACAACTCCAGTTCCCAGAATTGTTACCATTTGCCCTAATTTGCCATTTTCAATCTGGTGAACTCCAAATTCAGAATATAGAGTAAATGGGATTAATACGAATTAAAAAAAAGTCAGATTTTAATGATAAACACCTTTGGTTGAAGGGCAAGGTATCGTTTTGATAAATATTTACCTTTCCAGAAACAACTTTTTTCCTTATAAATTATAAAATAACTTTATGTAACTATAAAGGAAGCCTTTGGAATGGGTTATATGTTTATCTCATTCTACCTATTCTTTCAGTGCGGGCACATAATAAATATGGTAGTAATTTTTTTCTCTTCCTGCATTAACCAGACAAACACATTGTGAAGTATTCTTACCAATTGACGTAGCAAATGCTGACACAGAAATCACTATCCTTTGGGCAGGCCAGTCAGTTAAACCTGACCTGTTTGTATTGCTGCCAGTCAGAATGCCAAGTCCTCTTGCAACAGAGTCATAATCTAGATAATCCTATTACTTTTCAGTTAGATAATCATTAAGTCATAAGATTGCATCTATCCTTTGTTTCAGTTGCTGAGCAAACATTTTCAGAAAAGAGGTGTTCTTACAAAAGCGAAGCTTTGAGCTGGCTGATTGGATGATTTTTAGTGGTAGAAATTTAGCGCTTAGGTTTCTTTACAGCAGTGTTTTTCACATTTGGGAACTTTAAGATGTGTGGACTGCAACTCCCAGAATTCCCTAGCCAATTCTGGTAACTGAAGTCCACAGACTTTAAAGATGTCAAAAGTGTAAAACACTGTTTAGAGGATTTGCTCATAGAGAAAGAAAATATTTCTCTTTATCCCGGCATCATTTTGCATCTTAGTTGGAATTTGTGAGTTATAGTCCATCTTGCCCACTTGCATAGGTGTGCAGAAAATAATCAGCACATAAAATACTGATTTGCTTCCTGCAACTGATTTAGCACACTTTGAGCAGTAATAATAATGTTTGTGCAGGATTTCAAAATCAGTAAAGTCAACTGTGGATCTTGATCCTCCCAATTTTTATTTTCACTGGATGAAGGTATTGTTGTTAGTATTATGTGAGACAAGTGAAATTTCTCCCAGTTCATTTATTCTACAGTGGAATAATGTACATTTTCATGCCTTTCCCCCTTCTTTAATCTTTCTTCCTAAGATGTAAAACTCCAGACATAGTAATTTTTTCTCTATAGAGAAAGAAATTCTTGTTCAGCTTTTTCTGTCATTTTTATGTAACTTTTGAGGAGGCATGACTGTAAACTGTACATAATATTTCAGGTTTAAGCACTGGAAAGCAGAAATTGAATAGGAAGTGCAAAAAGAAATTGAAAGCATAGATATGTAATTTTAGTTCTCACTAAAAGAATATACTCATGCCTCTTTAAGATCCCAATTGAGCACATCTTTTTCTGTATTAAAAATATGCCCCAGAGAGGACTAATAATCTCTTCTCTAGGAGATTAGTAATATTTTATTTAACGGGTTTTAAATAATGTAGTGCCAGTGATTATTGAATCAAATAGACCAGCAAGAGTAGGGATATTGGAAAGAAAAATATCTGTGAGCCTTGATTGTCAGTACAACCTGCCTGCCTCTCAAAATACAACTTGTCATTAATGATCACAAAGATTAAGAAATTAATGATCACAAAGATTTTATTTAACGGGTTTTAAATAATGTAATGCCAGTGATTATTGAATCAAATAGGCCATTACTCCAGCAAGAGCAGGGATATTGGAAAGCAAAATACCTGTGAGCCTTGATTGTCAGTATAACCTGCCTGCCTCTCAAAATACAACTTGTCATTAATGATCACAAAGATTAGGAAGCTCTAATCAAAGGAGCTCTTGGGTGCTACCGCCAGAAATGTGACCTACCTAACACACACAGTATTAAGTGTGAATGAACTGTACAGAACCAGTGTGAGGGGTTTAAGTAGCAAATTCTTCTACCAAATGGAAAAGGCAGATTGATTGAGAGCTTTGATTACTGCTCACAGTATAAATGCCATTGGGGATCTCTTTTGTGTATAGTAAAGCTATTTTTTTCATATTTTTATAGTGACTGAACCGAAGATTGGTTTGACAGCAACTTATTGACAATAGTAGCCAGAGAAAGAAAAAGAGAGAGAAAGCAGGTGTTTCTCAATAGCCTCCTCAATTCAGATCTTGGATCAGTACCAGCATATTTACAAAAAATGAATCAATATTCTACCCCTGCTTTGTTTTATCAAATAATATTGCCTTTTCTTTTGTCAAATTTGCTAATGGTACAAAAAGATGATTATTATTTTTTTGGTCTGGAGGAAAATCAAGATGGCAAAGAGCAGGCAATTGAGTAGAACAGATATTTTTCATTACTGATTATTTTTTCTTTAGCTATTTGACAATCCCTGGACCAAATCCAAGGTTAGCATATCCTCCCTGTTCCTGTCCTTATCCCATTGAGAAATATGACCTTTTGTACTTTGCTACACTAATAAACGTAACTGGGTTTTTTTTGCTTATGGATGATATATCTATCTTCAGGTTCAAGTGTCATATTGCTTGAAACTCAGTAATGCCTAAAAATAATGCCTATAAAGGAAAATGACATAGACTGTGTAAGAGTCTATATTGTACACGATACATTATTATCATTACTTTAAATTAAGAGGCATCAGGAATTTACCCCTAGGGTTTTGTGTGCGTAAAATATTTGCTGCACTATTGAATTTTGTTGCCTCCCTTATTGATTTCAGTGGCAACCAGCAATCTTGACTATTTAAACTGCTCCTTCCTAATGTATCATATCAGCACTTGCAGTATACAAATTCTAGTTTTTAAGGTTTCCATTGCAGTGTATGATATTTCACTTTTCTCTGGTTTTTCATTTTTCTCATTTCAATCAGTTTAAACCACTAGAATGAAATATTCATTAATTTGTTCATTTAATTTATCTAGTTGGGGAATGTGGAAGGAAATCAAAATGTAAACATAAAGCAGAGGATTGATTAAAATTTAAAAAAATCTGTTGTGCAGCATTTTAGGAACTCTGAAATTAGGCTGCTGAAAATTGCAGGAGAACCATGCTGACTATGTGCAGGAATGAGGTGGAGGTTTATAGATTTACATTCTGCATGCTAGTATTACCATGCATAGTATTACTATGAACTGGTGAAACAAAGCTGGAAACTAATTATATATTTTTGAACTGGATGATCAGCTTTTTAAAAAATCCTGACATTCTAGGCACAGATGCTGCATAGCAGATTTTGTTATGGTTATGTTGAGGCCCTAATTTTAAAGTTTGCACACTCCTCCCAAATATCATGTTAATACTATAATTGAAAATAGGCCATCAGCTTGTGTTTTTTCCTCTTGCTATTCCATTTTTTTTAGGTTGGCTAAAAAAACGCTATTGCTCTAATTGGACTTTGTGCTCAATCTTCATTGTATTTATTCTCATGCAACCATTCCCAGAATTTACATTGAACCATCAGTGCGTCCCCTTGCTGATTATTGAGCATGTCTCCTCCCCCAACAAAAACCATCTAATAAAAGCCCAGCTGCTACTCCAATATCAGTTTCCCACTGCCATCTTTGCCTTTTCCTGTAGTTGCTTGAGAGCAACGAGAGAGGAAAACTTTGGGCGGTGGGCCTAAGCTACCCTACCCCCTGAGTCCCATGGCAAATAAGTTGGTGATTTGAGATTTTGAAGAGCGTAGTAAAAGAACACTGGCTGAAAAATGTCACTGTGAAAACAAGGACAGTATTGCTGTGGCAATGGTGCCAAAACTAGGTGCAGAAGTGCTCTGATTACTCGGTATAATACTAGGGAAGATTACCTCACACCAGGTATCATCAAACAGGATTTTGTTTTTTACAACGTTGAGAAGCTTTCATATTTTTTTCACTGGTACAGCTGAATGTCAGCATCTACTGAGATCTGAATAACATTATTATGACCAGATGGAACGGTTATCATATTAAATTGGCTAATATACTTCTAGCTTACCTTAATGTTCAACACCAGCCCCTCCCCCAATTAATGGAATCATTTAGGGTAACTAAGCTGCTTGTTAATGAGGAGAAATATGGTTCTGTATTTACAGTTACAGTGAGCTCTTCTGATTAGCTTTCATAAATATGTATCTTTAAACTGTGTCTCTTATGATATTCTTCAATTCAAATGCTAGCGAAAGATTATACAACCCTACAGTGCCACTTGTGTCTTTCTGTACTGAAGTTTCTAATCAATGTCAGGTGGAATGTGGACTTGCTTTGCTGTAATGAAAATGAATGGCTGCATAATACAAAGGTGGAGACTGTGAACAATCTGGAATCTGTGTAGGATAAGAAAAGCTACACTCTATGGTTTTAGACATGAGCGATGACACCACCTGCCTTATTGTGTTGTACCCAAAGTGCTGCTTTATCTGTGTTTTAGTCACAGTGCTATTCATCTCATGTATTTCTTCTCAAGATCCTTAGTTAGATGCTTAGTTTAGCCCTGGGTCTGAATTCCTGAAACACATTGTCTGTTCTGATATACAGTATATTTTACAGGAATATAAATGTTAGATTTCAAATCTGAAATTAGATAAAGCATTGTAGAACAGTGCTTTATCAGGATTGTAGAATAATGTATGTCAGCAACAGCTAATCACTCCATTTTCTAAGTATTGTTTTCTGTCTCTGAATGAAATGTTCTCAACATGTATTTTGTTTGTGGGCATGCAGAATATTTCAAATTCAAATCATTTTGACTTTGGAGCATCCCACTTCAAATGTGAAAGATTCAAAATGTTTCAAATGCAAAATGAGATTGTTCAGTTGTTTTGGAATTACTGTATTTTCAATATCCAAATATTGTAAAAGTTGTATTGAAAATAATAAAAACAGTTCATCTCACTCTTGAGATGGAAATTTCAAATGGAAGTAGTTCAAATTTGAAACATTTTGCATGCTCCTAATTTTGTTCATGCATCTCTGTAAGGTCCTCATCGCTACCAAGGATCAAATGTGTATATGTATATAAAAAAGCGAAAATAGATATGTGGTTATGGAGTTGATACTGTTTTTCCACTTCTAAAAAACCCCAACTGTTCCTTGCTGTTTTGGTGGAAAGCAGTGCAGAGAATTATGTTTAATCATTTTGTAACTCAAAATTCAATAAATCTTGTGTTAATTATTCACAGTTTTTCTGAATCTGAAATAAAAACCTTTAGACTGAATGAACATTTATCATTATTGGAAAAAGAATATGCATTCAATTGTATAACATCATAGGTAGTCCTTGCTTTAGAATCACAATTAAACCCAAAATTTCCAGTGGTAGGTTTCACAGTTGTCACGTGAGTTTTGCACCATTTTATGATCCCTTTTTGCCACAGTTATTAAGTGAATCACTGCAGTTAGTAACATGGTTGCTAAGTGAATTTGGATTCCCCATTGACTTTGCTTGTCAGAAGGTCGCAAAAGGTAACCACATGATCCTGGAACACTGCAACCATCATAAATACATGCCAGCTTCCAAACTTACTAATTTTGATCACATGAGTATGGGGATGCTGCAGTGATCGTGTGAAAAACAGTCAGAAGTCACTTTTTTTCAGTGCCATTGTAACTTCAGTCACTAAATGAACGGTTGCAAGTCAAGGATTCCCTGTATTCTTAGAACATGATAGTGTATTCTGACATTTTCATAATCAGGGCTATGGTAATGGATATTTGTCTAGCCATCTCTGGGTGTTGCTAAGAGCTACTGTGTGGTGCAATGCAAATAACCCATCTCTTCATAGGGTATTTAAAAAAGGGGATAGAGTCAGCATTACCAGGGCAAAAACAGGCCCAGGAAAGAGATTAAATTTTCTTCATGTCAAGGCTTCCATCACTAAAACCCCAGATTTATCTTTTCTGTTGAAGGTGACTTGTAAGAAATACAGCTGCCTTAGTCAAGTCAGCTATATGTAGGTATGGTAAATAACAGAAGAGTCAGTAATCCGTTTTGGGGGCTGTAAGACAAGGAGCATTCTTCTTAATAATACCAAAAAATTGCATTTCCTGACCCTTCCAAGCCACTTGGCAATCTGTTAATGTAAATTGGGAATTAAATACTGCCAAATCTTACCCTGGAATGTTGATCTAAATGCAGCATGTGGAAGACCAGACATAATGAGCTTCTTGTTCCTTTTCTGTGCACCACACAATTTTGGCTAGGAGTGAGTTGTGTAATCACAAGGAGGTTTTTGCATGCATTCTACACCAGTGGTTGCCAACCGGTGGGCTGTAGAAAATTTTGGTGGTCTGCAGAGAAACGTCCCCCCCCAGAGAACCCCGCCAAAGCAATGAATCCAGGCTGCAGGAACACAAGGCTGCACCGCCCACATGGCCCGTGGGAACCCTCCCTGCCCACTTATTCCTTATGTGGCAAACTTGCCTGCTAAGTTGTTATTTTTCTTTTTCCAACCATCAGCTGTTCTGCTGTGCCGGGAGATTTAGATTAGCTAGAAAGCAGGAAATCATTGGATTTCTTGCTTTCTAGCTAATCTTTAGATCTTTGGCTCTGCTTTTAAGGACCTTCCTTAGGACTGAAGCAGTGCAGACTCAGCTAGCCGATGGTAGGAACACAGATCTCTAAGTGAATCTGATTCTGTGACCAACTTAATCTGCCTGCCTGTTTTGCCTGATTTTGTGTAAAAGTTGCTCTTTTTTTATAAAAAAATTCAATATTTAATACATGGTGTGTTGTGAGTTAATTTTGTGAGTTTTCTTGCAAGCAAATTTTATGAGTTTGCTTGCAAGCAAATTTTATGTGACAGACTCAGCTAGCCAATGGCAGATAGATAGATCTCTGAATGAATCTATGATTCTGTGAGCAAGTCAATCGGTCTGCCTGCTCTGCCTGATTTTGCTCTTGCTAGCAAATTTTATGGGTTTTCTTGCTAGCAAATTTTATGGGTTTGCTTGCAAGCAAATTTTATGTGACAGGCTAGCCAATGGCAGAATCATAGATTTCTAAGTGAATCTGTGATTCTGTGAGCAACTCAACCTGCCTGCCTGCTTTGCCTGATTTTGGGCAAAGTTGCTCTTTTTTTTAATAAAAAATGCAATATTTATATGAATATTTATAATATTTACATACAGGCCATGCCCAGCCAGTCACATGACCACCAAGCCATACCCACAAATTAGGCCATGACCACAGAACTGGTTAAGAAATTTGAATCCCACCCCTGCCTCTCTGTTGTGTGTGTGTGAGAGAGAGAGAGAGAGAGAAAGAGAGAGAGGGACTGAGGGAGAGAGATCAGATCAGAACTCTCATCAAAATTCATATTAGTGGTCCCCCTAATAAAATTAAAACTTTGTTTGGTGATCTCAGAGGTCCAGAAGGTTGGTGACCCATGTTCTACACAATCTATCTGTGCAATATTCATACAATTGAATTGTGATTAATATTCATAGAGCTCAGTTGTTGCAGAGCCTGGCTGTGTGAATTCATCTACACTGAGCAAAAACTTTTTGGATATGAGATTTTATCATTATTGGCAGGCAAAAAAGAATCAAAAGCTGGAAATATATACCTTTTTCCTAGTATCAAAGACAAGCAAATAAAGGGAAGCTCCCTTTTATTAAAAGAGGAATAATTGAATCTTTCCTGCAATAGCAGATAAAAATACATTAAATGGGTTTTTATTAGTATTTGCACACCACAATATATTGATTGTTGTGTTAAAATGTTATTACTATAAGTGTATCTCTGTTATTGCTATCATAATCAACAGGAAAAACAGGAAAGAATCTTCAGAAAGCCCCTTAAGATGTACAATAATACATTTTCTTCAGCTCTTGTAAGGCTTTCAGTATCAAAATGGGGAAATGCTTTTGAGGAAATTGAGTCTATGAATGGAAGACCCCTAAAAGCTTCCATTAACATGAGTCACTTTAATCATTTCCTAAACTGCAAATTAGCATATCTTAGTTTGAACAAAAGAAAATGGAGTTTAACAGGCAAAAGAAGTTTATGCTTTTTACACATTGACTCTAGTAGCCTGTAAGCCAACTGAATCAAAATAGGAGACAGCTACCTGCAGAATACAGCTGAATATTAAATCTCAGGGCATAGGCATCTGCTGGGGGATAGCTGTTGGAATATATGTTCTACCCCATATATATGGCTATGCAAAGTCAACACAAATATGAAAAGGTGGCACTTGAACCAGGATATGACAGCTTTTGTCATGTTGATGTCATCATAATTAGGAATTGACTCTTCTGACTCAAACTCGAATGCTTAAGTTTCTTAGATTGGGAATCCATCCCAAAATAGAATTAGTTGACTTTTTCTAATACCAGCCACCCTTCTACCATACAAGTCCCCCAAATCACCAACTGCAATTGTCTCTTAAATGCGCCTGCTCCCCTGACACATTGTAATCATAGAAGACATGCAAGGAAATAATTTATCCTATTATGATGAATTAGCATAGCCAAGTCAGAATAAAACAATAACAACCGCAAATTTCCCTGAGCTGGAGTTTGTGTGCCTTGATTCCTGGTAATGCCTGGTTATGTCCCAGCAGTTGGCAAGATTTTCAAAGTGGTTTTGCCTTTAAAGTATACGGAGAAGGAACCGAAAGATTGTCTACACCCAGTATAGAATTCAGCTGAATTCTACATGTGAATGAATGGTATAGCATATTCAGATCCTGAAGCTGATTTATAAAAAGAAAATCTATCTTCACTTCAAGGA